ATATTATCAAATAAAATTTTATTTAAATATTTTAAAATTTAAAAAATATAGATCATAAACATATTTTTAACAATTTTTTAGACAAATTTGTTTGGAAAAGCTTACAGATTAAGGAATATAGTTTTTGTTTAATGCATGTATTAAAAGTCTTCTTTCTTTTTAGTAATGTTTGTTTTTATGATTTCTAACATTACAATTTTCCCTTTTTCTGCCTAGCCAAGAGATTTTTAAGCTTTTATCCTTTGGTTTTTAATTTATTAATATAATGTCATGCTATTTTAATCTCTTTTTTTCTTTGTTTTTATTTCTCTTTTAATTGGTTTTGTTCTACTTTTATGCTTTTTGCTCTTTTTTTTTCTTTTCTAGTTTTCTTTTCTTTTGGTAAGAAGTTATGCTTTTCTTGAATATTTCTCTTTCTCTTTTAGAAAACCTTTAAGCTCCTCATCTTTTTTCATTAGTTCAACTGAGGTGCCCTTAGAAGTGATCAGCTAGACTATTTTTTGTCTCTAGCTGCATAATTTCTATTGATTTGTCTTGTTGGACTTAGAGTCTATCTAATCTTTCTAAGAATTTTTGAAGCAAATCTTGCATTTGTAGTTTGAGGTTATATTCTTTTGTTTGTTTTATTTAACTACTACCTTTGCCTTTATTGTTTTTTCTTTTGGTCATTTCTTTTTTATTAATCTTCTGCTCTTCTTCATTTATATTAATATATATATCTTTTGTATTTGGGTGTTTTTAACTGTTACTATCTTCTTTCTTTCTATTTTACTTTTTCTAAAAGTTTTTTCAATATAGAAAATGGTTGTTAAATCTTATTGGTTTGAATTATGCTGTTTCTATCTCTTCTTCTAACACAAAGGTAATTTTTGCTGCTCTTCTTTGGTTTTCATTTCTGTTAAATAGTATGTAAACTGATTTTGCCCTCTTGTTTTTTAAGCAATATGGTAGCAATACTTCTGAAGCATTGCCTAAGAGCTCTGTTAGTCTTGTTGTAAACAAGTTTTGAAGATCACATTGAATATAATCTTTATTGCCTTTGGTTACTCTTGCCAACTTGTGAATACTAATTAGTAAAGTTTATGGAATGTTCTCATAGGTAAGTTGATCTGCTTGAACTGCTGCTAATGCCTTGTGTTTAGATTTTTTAATGCATATTATTTGTATCTTTTTGAAGCTTTTACACATATGCTTGATTTCCTCTGCATTGATGTTTACAGGTAAGTTCTATATTGTAAAACAGTTATATAAATTTATTTCATTTTCTGTTATAAACTGGTCTTCTTTTTTTTTATATTCTTCTTTTTTGAGTTGATTTTTGTATCTTTTTTTCTCTTTTTTGTTGTTGTTTTTAACTTGTTGTTCAAGTTTTGATTCTTTGTTCCTCTCTTTTTCTGGGATAAGCTTGAGCTATTCATCTTTTTTTTCTTGAATTCTGTCTATTACTGCATCTTGACTGTATTTACAATCAAAGTTTACTTCTATCCAGTTGTTTCTATTTTTAAAAACTTCTTTAATTGCTTTAATATAATGGTTTTTGCTCAAGATCTATTGCATGTATTTTATTTTTTTATCACTTGTTTTTTCTAGCAGAATATATGCAGGCATGTTTGCCTTAAAGGACATGTCCTTGTTGCATACTCTATTTTCTGGTGACCATTGGCTGCACTCAATTGTGTTAACAAAAATTGGATCTTTATAGATCATGTTTTTTTTTTTAATTCTATTATTTTCTTGTCAATATTTTTTATATTTCTTCTAACATCTTGGATTATGTTATCTCTTGAAGCTTCTGTGTTCTTTTTTATCTTTTTTTTTCTTGCTTCTTCTGCTTTATTTGATTTGTTTATAAGAGTTTGGTTTGTGCTTAATAAAGAGTTTTTTTGGTGTATATCTTGTAGTGTATTGATGTTAAGCTCCTCTATTTGCTTAACAATTTTGTTTATCATTTGGATTAGTTTTTCTTGAAGCATTTCTTTTTTTGCTACATTTTGATATCTTTTTTTTGTTATTAATATTTGCATCTTTTCTATGCTGTTCAATTTTTCTATCTCTTTTATTTTTCTCTCTTTTTTAAGTATTTCTTCTTTGCTCATGTTTGTAATATATTCAGCTGACTTTAGGTTTTGATTTATTAGTCTGAGCCTTTGTGCCTATTTATTTATTATATCTTCTTTGAGCCAACTTAATTCTGCTAAACTAAAAGCTTTAAAAATTTGTCTATAGAGTAGTATATCACTTAGTATAATATAGTTTGGGTTGTTTATTGCTAGGTTCTTTGCTATATGCTCTAGATTGCTTGGTTTTTTTGCAGACATTGTTAGAATTTGATCCAACAATTCAGAATTTAAATATCATCAATTTTTATCATCTGCTTTCTTAATGTAATACATAATGTCTGTGTTATTAGCCAGATCTATTTGATCTATTTGTTGGATTTCTATTTTGTACAATTTTCTTTTTAAGTTGTTTATATGCACCCTGTATTGTGCTACTATTTACTACTAGCTTATCTATTTATTTTCTAATTAGGGACATGTTTTTGTTGTTTGTTGTTTGTTGTTGTTGTTTAGTCAGTTATATGTTTCTTTTTTGTTTTTCAGAATTAATCATGATTTCTCAAACTTTTGAGATTTACATTAAAAAAAAGAAAAATTTTCTAAAAGCAAGTTTAGTTTGTTAGAGATATATTTTCTAATGTTATACTTCTACTGTTATTTATGTATTTTTGATCATAAACTTTTTTTTCTTAAAGGCCCAAAGACTGTTTGCTATTTTGTTTTGGTCATATTTTGTGTTTTGTTTCTGCTCTGCTTTGGAACTAGAGATTAGCAAGAAGAGTTGGTTGATTTATGATAAAATATTATTATAAAAACCTAATACTAAGATAATAGTTTAATAATTAATTTAGTTTACTAAATTTATTAACTAATAGTCTATTGATTATATAAATAATATAAAGATATAAAATAAATAACAAAGCTTTATATATATATAAAAACTAGACTGATATTTAATATATTTATAATAATATATACTAATAAATAACAATATAAACACTATCTAAAGATATTTTACCAATATATAAAATTTTATTATATAAGTAAAATACTATTAAAATATATAGCTAAGTCAATAGAGATGTTAAATATTGTTAAGAAACTAGCAAATTATATAAATTTTCAAATCAAAATATATATAATATTAGTAAGATACAAGAATAAAGTAAATATCAATGTATAGCAAATATGACTAAAATTGAAGCCTGACATCAGCTTGTGCTCAAAAAATTATAAATCAGAAAACTTGTCTTGAAAAATTTAATTTTAACTAAGTATGTTAAGTAATTTATAAAATAATTATAAAAAAAATAAGTATTAATAACTATTTTTATTGTAAAACTAATATTATATGGTCAAATTGTTTAACAAAGCTTAAAACTGCACAGTTTTATTCTTATTTTGAACAAAAATATCTAATTTTAAAACTATTATCAAGTGTAATAGTTGTTAATCTTTTCTTATATGATCTTCTAATAGTTTTTGTCTTGTATATAGCTTTTATAAAATGCATAATTGCTCTTAACAAATTTCAAATAAAGTTTATTAAAATAAAAACAAATGTAAACTGAATTAAAAAAATATAATGTTGAATGCAATTGTTAGTAAAGTATTTAATTTTACAGAATTTAAACTAAAGCAACAAAAAAGTATTAAAAGTTTTATTATGAAAAATAATACTTTATATATCTACTAGTAAAAAAAAAAACCTTTATTTATGCTTCTTCAGCTTTACTATTTACAGAATTAATTATAGTTTTTATATAACTAAAGGCATTAATGAAGAATTAAGTAATAAAAGTTATTATATTAATTGTAGTAGCTAAAGTTAAATTAACTAATACTAGAAATTAATTTTATTATAATATAAAATTTAAAAAATTTTGGTATTAGCTAATTTTCACATTAGCTATAGCAGTAATTTATTTTTTATTATTATATTTCAAATATACTTAATTTTTTTGGTTTAAAATAGTAAATATAGACATCTTATCAGCTATGTTATATGCATATTTTAAACAATTATCTAATGTTTAAAAAGCAATATTTTAGAAATTGCTTTAGTATTTATACAAATATTGCTAATAACTTTAAAAAAATATATATAAAATTTTGCATTTTCTTATATATTATAAAATATTGCATATAATAAAAGATTGCAATTTGTTATTAATGAAGCATATGATATAAATCAATATGTTTATTTTTAGTAAATTATACTGTTTACCACTATATATAGTATTTAGAGTCTTATTCAAGAATTTCATTTTTTAAATTAAATAGTACAAGTAGATATTATATAAGACACTAGATACTATATTAAAGATATATTATATAAAAAGTAATAAACTAATATACCTCTAAGTATTATTCAAAAATTAAGCTAAGTAGATGATAAATAATACCTTGGTCTTAATTAAAGTATTATTTTAAAGAGATATTATATGTAATGATGAATATAAAAAGATTTATATTATTAAAGAACCTAATACTAATAAATTATTATATTATTTTTAGAAATGATTGAACTAAATTAAACTTGCTAATAACCAGTATTGCATAAAACTTCAGTGCAAATCTATAATAAGACTATCAGATATAGAAGATCAAGAAACTAATAAGATAGAATTCTATTTGCAAATTTCTGAGTAAAAATATAGCATAAACCTTTGACAGTGCTGTTGAACTGATGAAAGTTTGGAAAATTCCAATAAGAAATAGACAAAAATGCAATCAAATAAAAAGATTTATAGAAGAGCATATGACCAATCAGGCTGCCAGAATTGTTAAGAAAAAAGATACCAAAGATATACTTATCAGGTTATCTAAATTGGGAGTTTAGAAAGTCTGTTAGTTTCTAAGTTGAATAGTAGAAAGATGAAGAAAAAAATTTAAAAAAATAAATACCAGAGTTTGAATAAACTTTACAAGAATAAAAATAGTATAACATAGTAGTTAAACAAAAACCTTTATGATTGCAAATGTTAAGTAACTATAGCATATTATATAAAACTAGGTCAGCTTTGTGTAGGACATGAAAGGCTCTAGTAATAATACTTTTAAGAATCTATTGCATAAAACAAAATATGAGGTTCTAATAGTATAGATAAAAGTATCTAGACCTTCTTGTCGAATGTATATACTAGAGATAATCTAGTAACACAGTAAAAATTACAGTACAGAAAATTTAAATAGGCAATCTCTTAGTTGAGTTGCAAGTATAGCAGTTAGTATAGAACTATTAGCAGACTACTTAAATTAGACACCAAAAGTGTATGTGTAGCTAATTGTATTCTCTAATATTAGATGACTTTTTTAAGGTCTTGGCTGCAAGTTCCTATATCCTAACTACTGAATAAAAGATTTAGTTTCAAAAGAGGCTAGTTGAATATCCAAAAAAAAATTAAACTTGCTTAAATAAGATTTTTCTCTTTACCAATTCTTTTTTTTATTGCAACTTGTAGTAAAACAAATACTTAAATAATCAAAGATAGTTTTAAATTATCAAACTTAAAAATATTTCAAAGTTTTATAATATTTTGATCTGAAATTTAATTAAAAGTTCTGAATAAACTAGCACAAAAAGAAAATTAAACGAAGATGTTATTAGATCTTGTGCAATCAAATTTTTCTAATTGATATATAGTCTATTTTGCAATTATTAATAATTATAATACTTATTACAATATTTTAGCCAAACATTTTAAATTAAATATTGTAGAAAATATTATAGATCTATATTAAATAAAGATTAAAATATAAATCTAGAAAATTGAAAAAATAGTTAGTTAAAATTAATTTTTGCAACAACTGTATTTGAAATAAGCTTAAATGTTAATAATATATATATTATTATTTATACTATATTTTTAATGTCTATAAATGCATTAGTTTAAAAAACAGGCTGTGCTAGTTAAGATGAAATAGCAGCAACAAATATTATTATATATTTAAGCTCAGATATTTATATATTGTTATTAATTGTTTTACAAAATTGTCTAAGATAAAAAAAAAAAAGTATTGATTATTATTTATATATTAAAAATAATTAATATAAATTAAATAATAGTAATAAAGAATTCTGCTTAGAAACTAACAACTTAGCAGATATAATTTAACAGTATGAATATTTTAAAAAAAACAAACTTCAATTTTTGAGATTGTAACATATTGTAAATTAGTATGTAAGTGTTATTAAAAACAGATGTATCAAAGTTTTTATAGTTTGATAACCTCTTAATTGTAAAATATAACAATTGTGATAATTGTAATTATTAAAAAAAAGACAAAACATGCTAGTATAATGTTGAAGTAGAGACTATATGAATATTAAAAATTGTAAACCAAGTAGTATTATAACAATAGTCATTTAGTCCTTTTTGGCTTTATATAAAACTAGATAATATATTAGATATATTTATAAGTTTTAAGTGCTACAATTTAAAAAAAACCTTTTAAGTCTAGAAGATTTTCAAAAACCAAACAAAAAGGAGATTATTCAAAAATGTAAAAAGGCAAAATATTTGTTAGAACAGTTGATATTGCATAAAGTAATTCAATACAAAATAAAATTAAAGTAATTATAATATAAATCTTCTATTTTAAGCTATAGTTATCAAATTGTAAATATTTTAAAGAATAGTAAATACTTATTAATATTGCAAGTGTAAAGACTACTTTTATAAAAAAAAAGTAGTAGTTAGAAAATATTATATTTATAAATAACAGTTAAGGTTCAAACAATATAATAATTAGCTCTATTAATTTGCTATTAGAGATATACTAATTTAGAAAAAATATGCTATTTTAAAAGTTTTTTTTTTATATAGTAGATATTTAACAGTTAGAAATAAATAAAACTATTATATAATAGAAACAAATTATTTTAAAAAGCTTATCTGAAATTTGTTTTATTAGATTAATTTTTTAAAGACTACAACTAATTAAAAAAAATAATAAACTAATATTATATAGCATCTTTTTAAAACAAGTTAAAAAAAAAGAGCATTAAATTTATAAGAGTTTATAAATAAAGGTTTATAAAAATAATATAATCTTAATATAACAAAAATGTTAGACTATTAGTACTAAATTATATCTAAATTTACTAATAGTTTTATTATATTAAAACTAATTTAAATAAAAAAAGACAAAAAAAACTTTATTATTATTATATAGTATATGCATGCTTGTTATATCAAGTTTATTATAAATTCTGATTAGTAGTATTATGATGTTCAAGTATTTTCTAAAAAAATCTATTTTTAGATTTTAATTAATTTGCATTATGTATAATAGTAATATTTTAAATTTTCTATAATATAATCAATATAAGAAAGCCTATTCTTAAACAAATTTAAAATTATTTAATTGTTATTTTTAATCTTAATTCTTTTTATTGCTAATTTTAGTGTTGTGAATAATATTGAGTCAAATTTCTTTTTCATATCTTAAAAAACTAATCAAAGTTTTTTGTTATTTTTTTTTTTTAATGTTAAGATGATCTTTTTGGTTTTTTGACTTTATTACTAACTTTTTTAATAATATGATTCTATAAATTACTACAGAAAGGAGTATGGTGACTTAGTAAAGTTGTCAGATTGTTAACTTCTAAGTAGTAAGTTGGGTGTTCAAATCTCATCAATAATGAAAATTTGAATAATTACCTATATAATATTTATATTATAGCAGCTGTTACTAATGATTAAGTTAGAATATTTGTAATGGCAATTGTACTAGCATGACTGACAGATTATACAAAGGAATGCAAACTGACAAATCAGACAGTACAAATACTAGATAAGTCTTTGTAACTATGTAAATTTAATAAAACTAGATAACAAGAAATCTATTTGAAAAGACTTGAGTAGAGAAGTAGTCAGATTTTTAATAGCTTTATTATAAAGACTAGCTTAAGAAAATATATACTAAGATCATAGTACTCAATCATAGTATCTAGATGAGCAAAAACTTTCAGGTTGGAAGTTTTAGAGATACTACCAACAAGGCCATCAGAATAAATCAAAAAAAAAGATATCAGACTGATCTAATATACCAATAAACTAGTTGTAGTCTTATATAGATAATTTGAATTAGAAGTCTGATAAAAAGATTAATAAAAAGGTAAAAGTATACTAAAATATTGAGATTATGCTATGAAGTAGATGCTGGAATCTGTATAAACTCTATAAAGACATAGTGGTTAAATGATAACTCTAATTCAAATATTAGTTCTGCTATAATAATATCTAGATTAGTTGTAAAAATAAATACAAAAGGCTTTGGAGGTTTAGCTTAAGAATAAAATAGTTCTAAGGTTAAGATGATAATCTAGACATCTGAATATAACCCAGTGATGTTAATACAGATTGCAGATTCAAAAAGTTTAAAATAGAACACTTAAGCAAAAATGTTAGATATAGCAATTAATAGTAAATCTTTAGGCAAACTTCTTAAATAGGTAATATAAAAAAGTTATATATGTAGCCAATTGTGCACTCTTCTGTAGTAGTTTATAAAATTACATTATCAAAAAAGGTATTAATAAAAGTCAAAAGACCAAAGAGGTCACTTAAAATAAATAAATAAATAAATCACTACAGAAAAAGTGTACAATTGGCTATATATATAACTTTTTTATATTATTTATTTAAGAAGTCTGCCTAAAGGTTCTCTGCTAATTGTCATATCTAACACTTTGTTTAGATGTTTTATTTTAAACTCTCTGAACCTGCATTTGTATTAACATTACTAGATTAAGTTCAGATCATTGTCTTAACCTTAGAACTATTTTATTCTTAAGATAAACTTTCTGAAGCCTTCTGTACTTATTTTTATAGCTGATTTAGTATTGCTATAGCAAAACTAATACTTGCAGTCAAAGTTAGATCATTTAATTGCTATGCTTTTGTAGAGTTCACTTAAACTTTAAAATCAACTTTATAGCATATCTTTTGTACTTTAGTATACCACTGCTTTTTACCAAACTTCTAATTTAAATAGTTTATATAAGACTATAATTAGTTTATTAATATATTAAATTAGCTTAATATTTTTTTTTTGGTTTATTTTAGTAAGCTGGTTGGTGATATTTTTGAAACTTCCAATCTGTAGGTTCTTGTCTATTTGGATATCACAACCTTGGTATTTATTTTTTAAGTCTAGCTTTTATAGTAGTGCTATTAAAGATTTATATTACTTTTTTACTTGAATATTTCCAAATAGACTTTTTGTTCTTAATTTTAATAAATTTACATGATCACAAGGACTTATCTAGAGTTTGCACTGTCTACACAGATGTTAGATGTCCCATAATCTGCCAGTTATGCTAGTATAACTATTATTATAAATATCCTAATCTAATTATTAGAAACAGTTACTATAATATAAATATTATGTAGATGATTATCTAAATTTTTACTATTGATAGAATTTGAACATTTAACCTACTACTTAAGAAGTTGACAACTTATTTATTTTACTAAGTTGCCACATCTTTAGAGCTTTTTGTTGTTATCTTTTGCATCTTTTATTATTATAATTATAATATGAATCAGCTTTTTTGTTAAATTTTCTAACAAGTCTGCAAAGTTTGGATTTCCAAAATATCTTTTTTGCAAAGCATATTTGCTAATTTTTTAGTCTTTTTTGGCTTGTAATTTTTTTTTCAATTCTTCTTAAACACATATTATATTTAAAATATCTAGATCTGAGCTAGTTTTGATAGTGTTTTTGCATCTTCTCTAATACTTCTAATAGTTTTGTAATTAGCTGTCTTGTAGAATATACTATTTTAAAATTATATATAAAAGGGTATGGCAACTTAGTAAAGTAGATAAGTTGTCAACCCTCCAAGTGGTAGGTTGTGAGTTCAAAACCCACAGATAGTGAAAATTTGGATAATCATTTATATAATATTTATATTATGGCAACTGTTCCTAATGATTGGATTAAGATATCTGTAATTATGATCATACTAGCATAACTAGCAGGTTATGAGGCATCTGTGTAACTGGTTACACAGAGGAATGCAAACTAGCATCAGGTGGTGCAAATCCAAAATAAGTCCTTATAGCTATGTAAATCTGTAGAAATTGGGGAACAAGAAGCCTACTTGGAAAGACCCGAGTAGAGAGGTAACATGGATCTTCAACAGTACTACTGTAAAAACTAGACTTAGGAAACAGATACCAATATAGAGTACCTGAACAGACAAAAACCTCTGGATAGAGGTATCACCAATCAGGCCACTAGAAGTCCAACCAGAAGAACCAAAGGAAAAAAATATCAGACTGACCTGATATACCAATAGGCTGGTTATAGTTCTACCAGACTATCTGGATTAGGAGTTTGGAAAAAAAGCAGGAGTATACTAAAAGTACTAGAAATATGCTGTAAAGTAAGTGCTGAAGTTTGGGTGAACTCTGCAAGAGCAAGCCTTGTTAATGTTTTGTAGAGTGGATAGATAGTTAACAGAGGGGCTCCTGGAGCCTTATAGCAGGTGTCATGCTCTGAAAATAATTGTATAACAGCTTGACAGATGTATAGAAGGAAGGCTAAATGTTAGGTTAGATGGCACTTAGGTGTACAGGAACCAGGATGCTAATTGTTTGAGTGCAGTATAGGAATCAGAGTGTTTAATTAGATAGTCTTCTAGTAGATTATAGGTATGGCAGCTAGTGTAGAGCCCTTGGGCAGACTACTTAAATAGGTAATCAAAAGTTACATATGTGGCTAGTTGTATGCTCATCCTGTACAAATAATATATAATGTATTCACTAAAAACACAAATAAAGGCATTAGTCGCCATTAACATTAGCCTTAAAACAAAAAAAAACAAAAAAAAAATTATATATAAACTTAATAATAATTCTTTTCTATATTTAAATTTATAAAAAATTATATTAAGTAAACTAATTTGAATTATTAACTCACTAGATCATACTTAGATGCCCAGATCATTGTTTCAACCTTAAGACTAATTTATTCTTAAGATAAACCTTTTAGAACCTTTTGTATCTATTTTTATAGCTGATCTAGATATTATTATGACAGAACTATTATTTGTTGTCAAAACTTAACTATTAAATTACTGTGCTCTTGTAAAGTTCACACAGACTCTAGCATCTACTTCACAGCATAACTCTGGTATTTTAGTATATTTCTGCCTTTTGTTTAGTTCTTTTATCAAACTTCTAATTCAAATAGCCTATATAGGACTATGATCAGTCAATTATATAATATATTAGGTCAGCCTGATATCTTTTTCTTCTGGTTTATTCTAGCAGCCTGTTTGGTAGTACCTTTAAGACTTTCAACTCAGAGGTTCTTGCCTGTCTGGCTACTATGACTAGGTATTACAACCTTGGTATTTATTTTGCCAAGCTAGCCTTTACAGTAAGACCATTAAAGATCTGATTACTTCTCTATTCAGGTCTTCCTAAATGAACTTTTTGTTACCCAATTTTAATAGATTTACATGGCCACAAGGACTTATTTAGTGTTTGCACCACCTGATTTGTCAGTTTGCATTTCTCTGTATAACTTCAACATTGCACAGATGCTCTATAACCTGCCAGTT